CTCCATTTTGAATTCCAACTTGGGATTTCAAAAATACATCTCAAGAGTAAATATTTCGGGGCACAGGCTGGTCAGTGAAAGGACCTTAGCAAGATCCAAGCAGAGAGTGACCATGAAAAGAAAAAGGATTGCTATCATTGGTAACACACAAGACTGCGGCTGTCTTTATCTATCAGGAACCAAACTGATGTGCTTCAAGACAGCGCAGGAGAGTCGGAGGTCCTGGGGGGAGGGGTGGTGGAGCAGAGTTGGCATTAAGATGGGAACTGTTGAGAAGATACTGGAGATGAATATGTGGAGGCTGTCTTATAAAATTTTGCTTACTTTTATGTTTAAAAATTTCCATAATAAAAAGTTTTTGTTTTGCCTGGATGAGCCACATACACTCAAGCCAGCCTCAGCCCTGCCTAGAGGGAACAGGTCCATTCCCAGTCGCACTGAGAAAACTCAATTTGGGAAGCTTCTCAGTAGCTATTCAAATCTAACTTAATACAAAAACACAGTCTTCTCCAACTTTTTCTTGTGAAGCTTTTGAGTTTCTGCAACCCAAACGTTTTTCATAAATTATATGTTATCATAAATAAATGTTAATCAAGTTTAATCAAGACGGTGAAAATCTGGACTTAAACAATGTGGAAATTTGCTCCAAAGTGCACTCTAAAGCTGTGAAATCTTTCATCTGCGACTGAGGTTATTTTATCTGAGTCCTTTGCCTTAAGATTTAAAGAGAGGCTCATAAAAAAAAACGGCTTCCTTGAAACGGGAAACTACAGAGCTGATGTACAACTGGCAGCTCTTTGGTTGGCTGTGAAAATGGAGCCAATGTTCACCTTTTCACGACTTTGAAGTCGAATGATAATTTCTGATTTTCAGAATACCTGTTTTGTAGAGCCCCATTTCGAGGTTTAACTTTTCTTTTAATACTGTCATCTTAAATTTTGTTTGATCCTGAAACAGAATTTATACAGACGGAAAGTATCTTCAGACTAAACCAATGGCTCTCTCAGGGGGACAATCTACCCCTACCCATTCGCTTGGTCTAGAGACATGTTTGGGTGTGAGAGCTCAGGGGAACTACTGGCTCTAGTGGGTAGGGGACAGGGCAGCTACTCAACAGCCTATAAAACACAGGACCATGCCTCACAACAAAAAATGGCCTGGCCCTGAATGTCTGGAGTGTCGGTGTTGAGAAATCCTTGACTAAAGTGAGTGACTGCCTGGAAACATCCCCCACAGCTGCCGTTCCAGGGGGCAGGCCATGGTTTTGCTTGGCTGGCACAACTCATACGTAGGGGCCCCAGGCTTCCCCCATAAGGATCAAGTCCGCCGTGGACACCAGGGTATATACCATGTACATACATGATATAGATGAGACCGTGCCTTTTATCGTTAGAAATCATGCTCACACCATGATTTCCCACCTTCTGGCTTCTACTCTCTTGTGGCATATATAGGTTTTATTTAAATGCTTTCTAGTGTGAGTTATTCAGTTACAATTTGCTGCAACACTGGACTTTCTAGAGCCTTTGGATGATTTATGGGCCCAGTAAAATAGAATGAAATCTGGAGATATATGGGAAAGCGGGGCTGGCAGAGGGGGCAGTTTGGAAAACTGTCACCTGGGAGGGTTCCCCTGGAGGAAGCAAGCCCCGTGGCTCCACACCCTGCCTCAGGGCTAGCGCGAGAGCCCAGGGACAAGCTAGGTCCTGCTCCCCTAATCTAATTCCAAGGAACTTTGAATAGACTCCTCAAATGAGCTATGGAGCTGCGGTTAAAACTCTCACATGGGACCCTTCTGTGACTACCCTTCTAGAAGTTGTGGTGGGGAAAAAAAAATCCCCAAAACAAACAGATTCATTTCTGCTTAAGGATCATAGGAACTTCTGAGGGTGGCAAGAAAAGGCAGACAGTTAGCTACTCTCCCCACTTCTAATCTAACTAGAAAGGTGTCTTGCCAAGGGGTGTCCCAGGGAAGCAGCAGCTTTCCTACAGAAGCATATTCCTTTATTCTTTCTCAGTGGCTCTCAAACATGGATGCACCTTAGAATAAAATAAGTAGCTACAAAAAAAAAAAAAAAATTCCACTCCAGCCTCGCCCTAGATGAACTAAGCCTACAATCTCCGAGAGTGATGGATGATGGGAAAAAACAGGAGCAGTACTTCAAGAACAGCATATTAATGACACCTCTAGTTTTGGGAGATGTGTGTTCTGAAAGTGCTCTGATTTGGGGCAGGGGGTGGGGGTCGGTGGGGGGGTAATAAATTTACCTAAGGATTACGTTGTTAAAGATACTAGAAGAAAAAATGGTTCTCCTTTGTGCAGAAGGGAACACTGACCATTAACAAACCAGGGGCAAGATATGGAAGAACCAAAGAAATATTAATTCTGATGATATTACCTGAAATATATAGCCATGTGTTAAAACAGAAAGATCAGAAAAGGTTGTCAATGAATTTTTAAACAGGGATCCTCATTGAACACCAAAAATGTCCTGCTTTTAAAATGGTCCCCAGCTTTAATCTTCTCAAAAATTGAAGTTAGGAAATTCTGAGTGGGATGAAATTTCTGATATTAAAACCAATGAAGAAGAAAATTGGCTTACGTGTGTGATCTCTCCCTGGACTGACTTTGTAGAGCTCCAACCATAGGACAACACCAAAATGCTGGGAAGGATGAAGGTCTTCTGTTAGATAAGAGTGTCTGTAAGGAAATAGTTTTGGCACAAACTTTTCCATGGTTGAAAAAAAAAAAAAAAGATGCTAAAAAAAAAAAAGAGGTTGAAGTCAGAAATGATAGTTTTCATGAAAGTCTATGTTTGCAAAGAAATCCAAAGGTCCACTTGAGTTTGGCCAGTAGGTGCTGGCCTGAGATCTATTTCTCTCTTAGAATGGATAGAATCCATTCCCAATATTTACATCAAAGTAGGTTGCTGACTTTAACTTCTTCTTGTGTAAATTCTCACTTTGCCTTACCTTGCAGACATTCTGGCCTATGAAGTCTGGCCAACTTCAGTGAGAGAGCATCCTGGGGATGGGAAGAAACAGTACCACAGTCTTTATAGTGCAAGACTTTGTGTGCTTTGCATACAATTATCTTAAAGAATCTCCATGGAACATGATTATAAGTTTTTTGACACAATTATTTGAAAAGTGCTAACTTTGGTGACAAGCTAAAAAAAAAACAAACAAAAAACACTGACCAAATAAAGCTGTACACTAAAAAGGAGTTATTCCCCAATAAAAATAATAACCCAGGGGAGAGGTACCAAATGATAAAGTTCTGTTTTTCTTTGAATGACAGTGAGCAAGTCAGGAGACACGGTTCTGAGTTTCCCACACACACTCTACCTTCCTTCTCTAGACTACAGTCTACCTCTTTGTAGTGATTTTTTTTTTAATTGAGTTGGTATATGTAAAACTAAAATTTTATAAAAGTTTGTTCAATGTTTTTTAACTTGGGGGAAAATGGATGATTGACACAATCAAGTGTTTACAACTTTTGAAAAAGGGTGTCTCAACCATTATATGAAAGCGACATTTAGCAAAACTGTGTGGTGCATTTCTTTACCCATAATTCCACTTGCTGAAGTCGATGTTTTTTTCCAACAGACTCACTGAGGAATGCTTTTTGCACACAAATGAAATTGAACCAAAAATAATACTTCTATGCCCAGGTATGGTAATGAGTACAGCAAAATCCCATACATTTACAGGACATGTTAGCCCCTAGGGTAAAGTTATATACAACGTGCAACTGTAAGCCTTGGCTGAATAACTAACTACAAAATGGACAAATTTTTCTTTCTTTTTTTTTTTTTTTGCAAGGTTAGTGGGTTGCCATGGTCAAGTTTAGTCAGTTAAACACATTTCATAAGTTGTTTATTTGCGACGTTGATTCCATTTACAATATTTGGAGGGGTTTTTCAAGGTTTCTCATCACCGTTCGGCTAGCACTTAGCCTCCTGCCTAACCACTCATTATGAACACTGGATCATGATTTGCTGAATCAATACATTGACATCCCAGGAGTCCATTCCTGATTACAGCCAGTTTTGCACGTCACAGTCTTCCTTCATGTTCCAAAACCTCACTGATTTACACATTGTTTTTTGTATGACCTTAAAATTCATGCAAACAGAATTTTCCTGTATGTAAAGTGAACACAAGCACATCCTGTGAGTGCTATCTGACCAACGCTGGGGTCTTTGCCCGTTTTAGAATGTGAGCTAATAGAAATCTGCTTGTAATAAAAACTGACAACTGTGACAAAAATAAGGATATAATATTAAAATAAATCAAATGATATACAATACTGTCATTATTCTGATACAGAATCTTTACACAGCAATATTGTTATAGGTACACATGGCAGATGTCAGGTAACCCATTATAAGAGAACTTCTGGTTACAAATGAAGTTTAAATTACAACTTAATACCGATTTTAAAATGGTAACAGGGGTTATGCCAGAATAAAGTCAATACTTCCTCTTCAAGTGACATTTTCTGGACCATCTCTAACTGTGAGACTTAAAAAAAAATAAACTTCATAAAAAGAAATAAATGTAATGTTGTATTGGGGAAGTGTTTTGTTTTGTTTTTGTTTTGTTTTGTTTTGTTTTTAAACCAACCCAAATCTAGAAATAAGGACCAAATTGGCTTTCCATTCCCTCTGGACTCACTGACACCTGTCCCACAGCCAACGTGAAGGCACAGGTTCCGTGAAAGTCTGGAAGCACCCCAACCTCTACGCCGTCTAGGAGAAGTCTGGAGTGTCTAGTTCAACTACACACCCTTCACTCTTTAAGTATCAGGCAAAAAGCTTGATTCTCAACAGTGATTCTGCCAGCAAATTAGAGGAGATGGGACAACCCCGCCCCCCACTTTAAAATGCAAAAGGACTGGTGAGGGAAATGGTGAAAAATAAAGTGAGAGCCTTAAAATTCTTTGAGGAGAGAAAAGAGACCTGAGGGGGTGTGTGCGTGTGTGTGTGTGTGTGTGTGTGGTAGGCAGGGCTGGGGGGAGGGGGTTTGAGAAAAAAACGTTTCTGTGACAAAATATCAAATTCTTATTCTCCTCATTTTTGTGAAAATGGGTGAGTTATTGGCATTAAAAGAGCCAAGCCAAACCAAAACACAAACAGGGAAATGAGAACCGGTTCCATAATGCCCTGCACTTTACATTCGTATCCAAAATTAAAATCCTCTTTCAATTAAAAAAAAAAAGTCATTTAAAACATCAAAGATAGAAATGTTACTTGGATAGTTGAGAAAGCAACAGCATTTCTTTCTGGCATATTATTTGTTTGGCACAATCACAAGTAAATAGACTTTACAGACATCATGTGGCTGTTCACATTTAAAGTTTCTACTCTCAAGTGATTACTTTCGGGCTAAACAAATAAATCGATTAAATGAAGTCCGTAAACAGGCTAAGCCCGGCATACATGGACATGTGTGATGCATTCTCCGCCCAAAAAATGGAACCTAAGATAAAAGAAGAAAACTGAGTCAGAGCAGGAAATGTTAAAAAACAAAAACAAAAAACTATTCTTGAGAAATGTCTTTGAATAAGAACAGCTAGTGTTATATTGAGTGTTAACTCCTCATCAAGCAATACACTCGGCACTTTATTATCCTTCTTCATCCCATAACCGCTCTGTGAACATGACAAATGCTTTCATTATACCCATTTTACAGGTGAGAGACCGAGACACAGAGAGATTAGCAACTTGCCCAAGCTCACAGACCCAGAACTTGAAGCTTGGCTGGCAGCTGGGCCAGAGAGACATAGCTTTTGACCACCAAGCTACACTGCCTTTTACTTCTTCATTTTAATTCTTTTTATAGCATCCTACTAATGAAGCTCCTTAAGGGGGCCATGACATTAAGGGTGTGACCGCAATGATAATGAGAAAATATGAAGTCACTGACGGCGAGCAATATATAAACTCACACGTTTGCATACAGATGGCAGAAGGGGTCAAAATTCTAGGAAGTGTGGGTAGGGGAGGAACAAAAGGGAAATTAGGGAAGGAGGCAAGCTTGAGTCACAGAAAAGGAACAAACTAAACCCTGGCCTAGGGAGAGCCAGCAGAGAAAGGTTGGCTTCATTCCAAGAGTCATCCAAGTGGTATTTCTAAGTCTTGCCCACGCCACCAATGAAGCTGGGTTGAGGAGGGTCAACCAGCAACTGGCATGGTGGGCCTTTCAGGGAGTCCCTCAAAATACATACACGTTCCAGAGGCAAAGAACAAAACTCATTCCCTCTCCCCTGGGAATGGTGCCCTCTTAAGAATCCACCTCCTTGGCAAGTTATAGGGAGAAAGTTTAACCCCAGGCCTGGAGGCGACTGATAGTCAATGAAATGGGATGGCAAATTACTCTGGCCCAGGGTACTGTGAGAGAGGCAAGCTATTAGAGACTCATGCCTCTGGGATCCTATACAGTTTACACAGGGCAGAAAAATGCATCCTGTCTGTTTCTCAACTCAGATGCTTTGCTCGCTATCATTCTAGTGTATTCCCTTCCTATTCTCTGCCACCAAAACAGGCCGCCCCATATCAGTTATCTGTCCTAATGAGAAAGTCTGAGATGCATCTTCCAGATGTCTTCTAAATAATTTCTCTGTACATTAAAAAAAAAAAAAAAAACCGTCTGCAGACAGTGACAGAACCATTCTAACCTTATTTGGGGATTGAACTAAGAGGACAGACCCATCTGTATGGTAGTCCCAAAGTGGCCGGGGCCCACTACGCTGGGCATTATCTTTCAGTGGGTACCATGCTCATGTTCTTCTTACCTCCTTCTTCCTTTTCCTTCTCTTCCTCTTTCTTCTTTCCTGCCTTCCATTTCCAAAATGGTTCTGGAAGGGCCAGGGAAATGACTGAGGTCAATAAATACAAAAGGAAGACAGGGAAGTAGCAGGTGGGCACTGACACCCGGGTGAACAGGCCGAGCCACCCCAGGTTCCTCTGCCTTTTGCCAAGGGCCAGGGCCTTATTGTCAAGGTTCTAATGACAGTGCCTGCCCGCAGGTGCCCGGCCGTCAGCTCCGCGCAGACTTGTGCTCATTCAACAGAATGGTTCTGTCACCGTGTGTGTCAAAGGGCGGCACGCGGATGGCCAGCTCGTTTGCTGGCACCGAGAACATGTCAGAGGAGGCGGGTACAGCTGCCTGGCTTGGACCATCACAAGCGGACAGCAGGAGGAGTTCTAACCCTTGACCTGTAGGACCTCCTCTGGCCCTGAGGCTTTGCGAGCTTCATCTGGCCACGCCTGAAACTATTGCATGGGCTGGTGGTCCCCAGCTGGGGGTGGCTCTGCCCCCGAGGGGACATCCAGCAATATCCAGAGACATTTTGTTTGTCACAGCTTGGGGGGAGGAGCGTGAGTAGGGGGTGGAGGCCAGGGGTGCGGCTAGGCAGCCTCCAATGTGCAGGATAACCCCCAACAATAAGAACTCTCAGGCCCAATGTGCCAGCTGGATATCGCAGCCTCTGTTCCGAAAAACAAACAGAAGCTGCGATATCCAAGGTAAAGGAGCCTGAGCTAAGCGAACTGTAACTATAATGGACATGTCAGACTGTTATACACGGACAACACCAAGCATGTTTCCTTTATTCGCTCATTCAGCAGATCTTTACTGTCACCGACATATCAGGCCTTATGTTACGTGCTACAGAGACAGTGAAGAACGAAACAGGAAAGGCCTGGGCCCATCATGCAGCGTGAGTTTTAATGACGGAAGACAGATACGCAGCAGGATAGTTAAAGCTGTGAAGAAGTGCCCTCGTGGTGCTTGCAGTCTTGTGACGTGTGCATCAAGACACCATGGGTGCTCTCTGGCCTGTCATGTGCCTTCTTAATGCCTTGAAGACAGGAGCAAAGAAAAATAAGAGCGGTGGCCTGCCATGCCCAGGCTTCATAAGGCATGGCGCATGAACATCACACCAAACCTGTATGCCAGATTTTTGCCTTATTTTGACACAAGCTAAGTGGCTTCCTCTCGAGGTGAAGTAACACGGCTAACTGCAGTCACCCAGCTAAAAGGGAACCTGTCATAATCAAACCCAGTCCCGCTTTCTTCCAGATTTTGCTCTGTCTCCTGCCAATGCCCCCTCCCACCCCCCTACCCCCCCCCCCCCCCCCCCCCCCCCGCAGAAGTGCTCCGCCTGAAGGCAGAGGGGTGGCCTTCCCAGGTCCTGTGGCTTCTCCTTACTCTGCACACCACTGCCCGGCACTGAGCAGGCCCCAAGTGACTCATGCCACCAAACTCACAGAGATGGACTTTCGTGAAGCCAAAGACGCAGAAGGTCTTCCTGTGTATAGTTCCCTCCGGGGCCTAGGTGGGGCCCTGGCAATGTGCTCACAAGGTCATAGGTTTCTGTGAATCCTTCAAAAATATTGTGAATTATCCTTTTTCTTATGGAGGGTGCCAAGGCAGTACCAGCCTCAGCTCAGATCTGTCCCAACAACCTTAACATCATGATTACACGGTCCTGCAGGGATCTTTCTACCTGCATGCTCTTTTCTTATTCTTCTCAAGCCCACTCCCCTTTTTCAAGATCCAGTCTGTTTCTCCCCCTGCCAAGGCTTTTTTATCTGTACCCGCTCATAGCAGTTTTCCTCCTCTCCTTCCATCTGTGAGCCCCTAATCACAAAGAACACCATTTCCGATGTGATACACTTAGTAGATACTTGGCAATTTCTCCAGTGCCCCCCTTCATTTCTAGCTCTACACATATTTTGTTTTTTAAAGATTTTATTTATTTATTCGGGAGAGGGACAGAGATAGCAACAGAGATAGTGGGAGAGAGAGAGCACAAGCAGGGGGATGGGGGGAGGAAGAGTGAGAGGGAGAAGCAGGCTCCCCACTGAGCAGGAAGCCTGACTCAGGGCTCCATCCCAGGACCCTGGGATCATGACCTGAACCGAAGGCAGACATTTAACAGACTGAGTCACACAGGCGCCCCCTAGCTCTACACATATTGTGCGACAAAGTTAATAGGTGTCTAATGGCCAGAGACATGAGAAAGTATACAGAAGATGCATCTTCAGAGGCACAAATAGAGCCCAGGAGCTAACCATTCAGTCCCAACTTGATGGTTTATTTTAGAATCAACTCAATCCAACACTTCCAAAAGCCCGGAATTCCAAAAAGCAGATTCTAGAAGTAACCAAGGTAGGACCTGTAGCACTTTCCACAAGGTACAATTCTTATCCATTTGTGGCACTTTTAAAAAGAAAACAGCGCTGATACAAAACACAGGTATCGTTTGTAATTCCTCTCAAAACAGTCACTTTTGCTAAAGAAAGAAAGGTAAAGAAGGATACACGAAGAAAACCCTGGGCATGTCACATAAAAAGCACCAGTCTCATGTGGGAAGGGGGTTTGGGGTGGCAAGAGGAGTGAAGGGGGTCAAAGGAATAGTGATGGTCATCACTTTGTAGTTCAGACAGATGTCAAATTATAATGTTGTATACCTGACACTTACATAATTTATATACCAGTTTTACCTCAATAAAAAAATGACAATTTTATTTTGAAGAAAGCCAGTTTTGTTACCATAACTTTTGTCAATAAAAGCACACGGTTCAAAAAATTTCAAATAGCATAATAGCACATAAAATAGAAACTAAAAGTCTCACAGTTCCTGTCTCCCTCTCACAGTTCCCAGCTTTAATTAATTAGGAAGATCGCCAATGTATTTTAATTTGGTCAAGTCTTAAAATGTTTCTTCAGAGTTTTTTTGGAATAAGTGTATATTCATACAACCCTAAATAATGCAATGATTTATCTTCTTTTTTTTTTTTTTTAAAGATTTTATTTATTTATTTGAGACAGAGAATGAGATAGAGCATGAGAGGGTCAGAGGGAGAAGCAGACTCCCCGCCGAGCAGGGAGCCCGATGTGGGACTCGATCCAGGGACTCTAGGATCATGACCTGAGCCGAAGGCAGTCGCTCAACCAACTGAGCCACCCAGGCGCCCGCAATGATTTATCTTCTTATGGCTAGAGAGGGTTAACATGGGATCTGGCCTCCCACTGCTCTGTGTCCTTGGAAAGAGTAAAGGAAAACAGGGAATGGGGGGGGTCAGCCTCGTGGCTTGTATGGAACTTGAGTTGGGTTGGGGAAGCTGTTGGCATGCAGGCCTGAGCCTCTGGGTCTAGAGGGGTGCCAAATATTTGCAAGAAATAAGGGTGGGCTTCTGTGAGTCAAGGGGACCCACCCCCCACACTTTAGCTCTCATTTGGGGCAGCTACAAGTGCCCCGTGTGGAAGATAGGGCAAGCCATGTTGTGTGTTTGGGTAGCTGCTGAGCTCCCAATGCAATGGTGCTGCTTTATCTCCTACACTGTGTCCTGGGAGGGGAAGTAAGTGTAGCGTTCAGCCAGTGGCGCTCAACCAGGGCAAGGTCCATCCCCCAAACCATCACAGGGGATACATCTGTCATAGTCTGGGGACATGGCTGGTTGTCACAACCGAGACAGGGAGACTAAGGGCATCTCGTGGGTAGAGGCCAGGGATGCTGCTAAACATCCTGTGATGCATAGGATGGTCCTCACCACAGAGAGCTATCAGCCCCATACTGTCAACAGAGCCCTGGCTGAGAAACTCTGTATTAGACTAAAGTATATTTATGTCCCCTGAGTCTCTCTGACAACGAACTTGTATTCACAGCGAGGATGCTGTCCTGAGAGAGAAAATGTAGACAGCGGCTCTTGACCTCTGTGATAGGAAAGATGAGGAAATTAACATATTAGGCTTTCATCCACCCATCTTCCACTAAATTCTGAAGTTATATTAGTCATATTTTAGTTAATATTTTTTAAAGTTATACTCTATCCTGAAAGTATGTTTACATAGTTTCATAGGTTGGTTCTAAAACAGAAACTGCGAATAATTTTTTAAATTATCCCTTTTTTTTAAACACAGACAAGTCCCAGGTTTTAATTTTAATTTTTTTTTCAGAAAAGGAAAATGTATTGGTCAAGTTTTAAAATGTAGCTAAAAAAAAAAAAACCCCACCAGAAAACAAAAAGTAAAACTGATACTAAAAATGTTAACATAAAAAGTGAAGCAAAAACAATTTTGGGGGAGGAAACACAGTTGTTTAAATTGAAAACAAAAATAAAATGATAAGCAATAAAAGTATTAACTACATAATTATAAACTTCCAAAGCCAAGAAGCAATCAGAATGGGATGGAAATGGCTGATCTTTGTAAATTCTGGAAAGTGTAGGTATTAATAGAAATACTAAAATAGTGGGGTTTTTTAAACAGCAAAATATTCCTTATAGATATACGATTCAGTAATTCATCCCTAACTGTTAAAAAATTGTTAAAAATGAATACATGTTAAAACTTTTATTTGACTAAAAATGTGTTTGGAAAACACACATCCTGTTCTTAGGTAAACTGATCTTTTATTCTACTTTTCAATTATCAAATGTAAAGTTAAAAACTGTACAATTCTAAAATTAGAGCGTAGCAGTCACTGTAAACTCCACAAATTAGTTGATGTATCTGAAATAAAATAGCAATCTGTGACATCAATTCCTACCTGTAGTTTGCAATTTCATTCATCAAATATTACTCACTTTATCAAAATAAACAGACATTTGTGGTTATGACTAAGTCAAGCCAGAATGGAAAGTTTAAAATTTAAACAGGTGTAGTCTTCACTTATTCATAGTCTTGTGTTTTTAAAACACCAATCCCTGTAACCACAACCAGTTAATGCCCCCTTTAAAAAAAAAAAAAAAAGGAAGAAAAAGGAAAGAACACATCATATTAAAATAGAATTTTCAATGCAGTGTCTAGACTTTTACCATTTACTGATGAGCCATTAAACTGTAGTTTGAAGTTGAATACTGTACATTACATTCACCAGGATGCATTTACAAAAAATTTTTTCCCTCAAATTGTTTTGAATAGAATATAGTAGAGAGATAATCTGGAAGTAACTAGATTTTTACCAGGATAAGTTAATTTCACCCAGAATAAGTAACAACTCCGGGACCTACTTTAAAAATAGAAGTGACATAGGAAAATGTATTTTCAAGACAGAAAAGTATCCAGTAGGAGAAGTTGTAAAACTGAGTTCTAGAAACACTTTTCAAGTGGGCATCTGAATTGGGGGGAAAGTTAAGATCTGACATAAAACCTTTATTTTTTTTTTTTTAGTTCTTTAGTTCTTTTAACACTTACTTCTACTATGAAAACCATAACTTATTATCAAAGACTTCATTATTACAACTGTGATTAAAAACAAACACGTAGAGATGTATCTGGGATTCTGGGAGAAGAATGATTCTGTTCACTCTCAGAAATGACCTTACACTACATACACCTGAACTGGAAGTTATCCAGGCACCCGGGGAAAGAGAATTTGGCTCTCTTATTGAAATACCTCAGATTTGGAAAACTCATCAGAACTACAGGATGTGACATATTCCCAGGAGGGGCCGTTCTCTCTCTCATCCCACACAAACCAGTTTTGGTTAACCCGAGCAGACGAACCCACTTTCACGGTGGCAGAAGAGTATGGTGATTAACACCACACAACCAACGGAGCGTCACACAGACGTGACGTCCCAGGCTGCTGCGCGCCCTCTCACCTGGTGACCTCAGCCAGTCACCGAGTCCCTCTGAGGCTTACTGTGGTTGTACGCAGAAGGTGCTGGAAACCAATGTGCTTCACGGGTTTGTTGCGTGAAATGAGAAACTCATAACCAACATTTAGTACAGGCGGTCTGGGATGTCCCCGCCCTCGCCAAGGGGCAACTGCGCTTTGCTGTGATGACAACGAACAGCTGCACAGAACGTGTCAGGCTGCACAATTCTGGTATATGTGGGGTGTGTAAGGGTATGCTAACACTGCACAAAAACAACACTGTTCTTAAAAGAAAAGGTTAAGAGCAACCTTTTCAAGGACACTGGCTCAAATGTACAAAAGTTATTTCTCAAGGAAACCACAGGGAAGCCAAACTCAGTCTTCAGAGCCACCCAAGCAAGAGGAGTCCCTATGACAGCTCACAGAGCTGAACATAAGCCCATTTATTTCATTACCTTGGCTCGCAGAAAAGTCAAAACAGCTAACTGTCATCTGCAACTGTCGAGGACAGGGAAGATGCTGGGCTTTACTACAGCTTTCAACCCTAAACCACATGTGGGGGGAAAAAAAAAGGCAAAAGGCAGAGTCCAGAAGGTAGATTACTTGGAAAACATTCCATCTATTTTAAATGGGAGAGAATGCCGCAGACAGACTGAGCTCTGCCTCCAACGAGCCACCTGGCCTGGGACGCGCCCTTCTATGGCCCGGGGCTTCCCTTTGCTGCTGGGTAAAACCAGTAGGTGGCGCTAAGGGGGCAAGGCACTGCCACCTGGGTCCCTGGGGCATCTTACGGAGATCCCATCATTTTAAGTTTTGATTCAGAAGGGCCAAGACTCTCCAAGCTCCACACACTTTTCTGCTCCCTCCTGCCTCTAACCCACCCCGCCTTCCTGAAGTCATGTCGCTGACTGGCCCTTGCAGACAGAAGTGTCTGCCACACAACCTCAAAAGCTCCATCCAATCCTGCCAACATAAGGTCATGCCACTTCTTTTTTTTTTTTTTTTAAGATTTTATTTATTTATTTGAGAGAGTGAGAATGAGAGAGAGTACATGAGAGGGGGGAGGGTCAGAGGGAGAAGCAGACTCCCTGCCGAGCAGGGAGCCCGATG